TATTCATTCACACCACTTGGTTCTGCTCCTTAAAGTTAAAATAAAAAACTCTAGCCCATAAAACTGACACACATATATGGACATGGAGAATAAGAGACAATACACTTACAATAAATGGAGAATGGAATACCTATAATTGAGGAAATCAAGTAATCTATATCAGAAAATTGCTAATTTACAATGGTTATCCGCCAGAAATCTTTTCTGTTGTAGGAAGTTTGATCTTAGATATTAGTAGTTTATCATAAATGTCACTATGCAGAATAAATTCTTAAGTAGTATTTTGTATTATACTAAATGGGTACAACTACACCTTTAAAAATCTAATAGAAAAACTGTTCTTCAAAATATTTTTTACTCATATTGTCTGCCTTTTTAGCTTTAAAATCAATAACATCTCCTTTTAGCTTCCTCATCATATAGTACAAGCTTGTCTAGGGGTCACTAAATCCAGAAAAGCCTTAAATCAAATCTAAACAGAAAAACAACCCCCCAAAAATAAACCATATTAGAGGATTTGCTTGGCCTCACACAGGCATCTGACAGGACATATTTCCTACTGAAGCCACTTCTTAATGCTTAACAGGAAAAGAACACTTCAAAACACCGTCTTCCAACAAAAACAACAAGGAGCCCTATGGCACCTGAGAGATTTATTAGAGCATAAGCTTTTGTGGGTAAAACCCTCTTCATCAGGTGAATTGCAGTGGAGTTTATAGAGGCATAGGCATATATAAGGATAACAAAAGAAATAGGGTACTTTTGTAAATGAGGGTAAGTGCCCTTTTTCTTTTGTTGTCTGTATATATATCCATGCCTCTGTAATCTCCACTCCGCTCTATAATTCCTAGATAAATTCCTTAGTAAACCTGCAGCTCAGTTAAACCATATTCCCAGTGTCTTGTGTTTTTTCCTGTGTTGTCTAGGACAAAAATCTCTGTTGTAGCAACCTGACAAGCCACATGGCCTATTTCTGGAACTGATTATTTCTATACAGCAGGGCTAAAGTTTAATTTAGCCACGCAACTTCAGCTACGTCAATTGCATAGTGTAAGCCAAAATAGCTTAATTCAGCTTTTGATGCTGTCTACACAGCAGGAAGCTGACGGGAGAACACTCTTCCTTTGACTTCACTTACTTCTCATAAAATGAGGGTTACCATGAATCGGAGTAAGAAATCCTCCAGCTTGACCTTATTTTGAAATAAAGGCTTGTAGTGTAGATGCACACTGCATTATTTCGGAATAACGTCAGTGCAGATGCACAGATGCTATTCTGTAATAACGCTGCTATGTAGACGTACACTAGCAGATTTAGGACCAAGGGACTAGAATGCTACACTTGAGGAAAATGCTTTAAATAATTTAACTAGAGTCATGTTTAGAAGAACTCAACTCTTGAGGGTTTCTTGAATGTATTTTTGTTTCAAGAACTAGGCTTGGACAAGATGGGTAAGACAATATATTTTATTGGTCCAATAAATAATAAATGAAATATCTAGCATGAGTTTAGTCTTCAACCAGGAGAAGACATGAATTAACTTATCCTTGTAATTTTTCATTTATCTTCAATCCTCCGTTGTAGGTGAGATTACATCTTTATATAAATATTCTTAGAATTAATACAATATTTGAGCTCCAGAACTGGAATAATCAGGCCTGTTAGAGTGAATTTAACATTGCAAATTCATAACTATAATGAAACCCTTCTCACTGATAATGTCTTCCCTTTTAAGTTATCATAATGCTTTACAAACACTAGTTAAGTGAGTGCTTTGTGAGACGAAAAAAAACCTTCATTTTATTACAGATGGGGAAATGGGCACAGGCAGCCATTACATTACCCCCACTTTAATACTGATGCAATAGCATTGATTCCCACTGCACAACACTGGTGTAAAATCTAATGTAATGAAGTGAAATTAAATCAGAGAAATTCAATCCTGAGTTCCTTACTCGGGCAACTACACTGAAGCCATTTGACCTACCTGTATAAGTAAAGTAAGCCACATCTGGCTCAAGATGTTAAATGACTTGTTCAAAGTAATATCTCACAGCAAGTCCTTATTAGACCTTAAATTAGAATTTGGGCGGTTTGACTACCAGTACCGTGGTTAGTTAGGGAACTTGAACACACTTCCTCCACCTCTTTCATTTATCACGTTCTGGCTTACACAATGCAGTTTGTATTTTCAATACAAAATCTTGGGTCAAACTCGTCTGTACCTGCAAACAAATTCTAAGGAAGAGTATCAGTTTGACAATGACTCTACAATAAACAGCCTTCAAGGCTGTTATGCTAGTTATGTCATGATAAACACACATACACAAAAGGAGAAGGTATTCAGGCCATCTTAATGTAAGGTCCATGCATGGACAGGTTCTGATGTTGACCTCTCGAAGATCCCAGTGAAGGCAAAAGAGGGTACAATTTTGTTGGAAGATGGGAAAGGTGTGTCAATGTAGTATAATTCCACATGGTTCTACCTCTAACTGTGCAGAATCTTCATCCACATTTGTGGAAATGGCATGGCT